GGGGGGGGGGGGAAACAGATAATTGGTGTACTAATTCAAACGGTCACTCTGATTTCCTTTGTTGTAAACCATCTTTATTAGATGGACAAACTGTGTAGGTCTAAGATGAACCGTTGTTACCTGAGGGATTTAGTCCCATCTATAGTTTCGTTTTTATCGGTCGTGCATACGCAATCGAAACCAAGCGTTTTTTGTCTGTGTTGAGTTCCCGGGGAATTGGGGGTGGGGGGATGGGAGTAGTCAATTCAACCACTCACCAATGTGTAGCGTGTATTGAAGACGTCCATTCTGGGTAAGCGCTACCAAAATCAATTCTTTTCAATATGCTATCTGGTTTAGCCCGGGTTACCGGTGCAGGAACGACCATTAAATGGGAGGGAGGTTACTAAGACATAACGAGGGACACGGACCAAGCAGCGATGCTTGCGGACGTGGTGTATTGCCTCGGCGACCAACTATTGTCCTCCATTACATTGCCTGTACTGAGTGTAAAGCATTTCGAATTGAACCCGCAAGTTTTTAGGTTCATCACCGAGCGGCACCGCACAGAACCTCTTCATCTCTTCGACAAGGCTTGTCAAAGCGGGCAACTGAACCAAACCGGTAGTACATGTCTACGGCCTGGCTACAACTTCACGCAAATGGGCACCATCCATCCGTTCATTGAGGGTAAGTATGACATGCACTGTAGGGGCCGTGGATACAACCTTCTTTGAAAAAAACAGAAATAAAATTTTGTGAATGACAATGACAATGTTGCAGGGTGTGGGTGGCTCATTGGTTTAGTCGCTGCCACAGGCGTGTTTAGGACCCTGTGGTCCGACGTTCGAGCTCCGCCATCGCTACCCAACCTTGGTGGTCGACAGTTTTTTTTTGGTCGCCCAGTTCTATACCACGCCTGACCTATCGGGGCCTCATGTGGTTCGCCACGCCAAGTCCCGGAGATCAGGGTGCCGGTTACCATCACTGAACAGTAGATCGTCCTCGTGACTACGGGGTCCGCCCCGTCTGCTGTTCATTACATACTAGTGTGTGATCAAAAAATCTACGATGTACCTACTAGTCCTGTCGGAATAAGTTTCATGAATAGGTTGTCTGATCCGATGACACAGTGATAACACATGCGCGACTTTCATGCGATCAGCGCAGCGTTCCAATTCCTGGATGAACAATAGTGGTTATGAGTCAAGTCAAGCCAGTTGCTTTAATCACCNATCACCTGAAAGGGACGTGTTTCGTGCTCATTATCAAACCCATTGGGAAAGCAGAAAGCAAAGTGAGAGGTTCAGGGAGGAATAATTTCCCGTGCACAGATCTATCTGTTCAACCCGGCTTGGCTCCGCCGAAACGCCCCTCGAAAATCAGGGGATGATCGACTGACGGGACGCAGTTGTACTTGCCCCGTTTTACCAGAAACCGGTGCAGAAGTCGATTCGTCTGGAGATGCCGGGGGTTAAATGCGACCAGACAAGATGTTCAGACAGAACAAATGCTTGACGGTTTGATGTGTGTCTGGCCACGACACACGGGGGCGAATTGAAGTGTCGGGGACTACGCGTCGGTCGACAAACGACGCGTTGTTACACGGGACGGGGCAGTCTAAAACAACTCGGGGTTGGAACGGAGGCGCGCGTATGCAAACAGAGGACTGACGTTGTGAAGGGTATTGAGAGAAATATCAATGTTAACGCACAAAAATGAACCGGCTGTATTTGAAAGAAAATTTGTCCAAATGAGAAAGCCAAGTGAGAAAGATCATCAAGGTGATCCACACTGCAAAGATAACCACTAAACAGCTGAGACTAATTGGGTTTTACCGTTGATAAGCAGGTGACAGTCAGATTGGAAGCATAAACGGATAACACGGTGGGGG